TTTATGACTAGTTACCGTAACCCATTTCAATAGGTCCCTTATAATATTGTATAAACATCGGATTACCTTTTCCCTGACTTACCCGCGCGACGTCAAAACCCCACCACCCCCGGCGAATCACCGAACTGCTGCGGTCCGTCCGACCGCGACGATATGTCCGTTGTTTCGAATTAACCCCTCCTATAATAAGTGTTGTTAATTTTTTTCAAGAAACGGTTGCGGCTTGTTACCGCCATTATCATCACGGTATGTCGTTTACGATCGCCGATTGTTGCGTACACGTGTAGAGTCTTGTGTCTTGTGTTTGACTCCACGTGGTGGCATCCGTAGCGAATGCGATAGCAATATAGTTTCCGATAAACGATATTATGATAGTATTGGTGCACGCATGTGGTCAAATATCTGTACGTGTTACGGCACCGGCTGCAGACCGGTTTCCATGAAACCGAAGAATACGAATGTGTCGTGCGATGGAAACTGCCGTTCGATACGTAACGCTGGACGTCTAACGTGGAATGTTCGGTACAATTATTTGGAGCGCCGTAACACGATACGAATGATTTAATCTATTCATTCGACGATCGGTTATTTTTTGTCTACGTTGAAAAATATACGAGTTGCTGTTTAGTTAAAGGATTTTACCCAAATATTTGTTTCATCGGTAGTCCAATTGCGTTCGAACAATATCGATCAAATCAAAGTCCGATCACTTACTGTTAAATATTTATTTTTCATTTTGATAATTGGAAAATGTTATATTTGAGTCGTAGACGATCGACGATAGGTACTAAATTAATTATACTGATTAAGCTGATAAGATTATGAAATAAATAATCGTTTGAATTTTTGTATCTATCTGGTTGAAAAAATGTTTTTTTATGAAATTTCAAACAAAATCAAACTCATGCTTGTGTAAACTGTTCAATGAATTATGTTGGAAGTGTAAGTTTTCAAAAAATATATTTGAGACTTGCACAAACAATTACATCATAATCGAAAGGTAGCAGTGTATAAGGTAAACAGCTGAACAAGGTTTAATTTAAAATTAAATACTGCTCTAAAAGCAAAACGATTTTTTTTCTTTTTATCTTGAGTAGTTACAGTATATAATCTCTATTACAACAATTTCAATAATGTATACAAAAGACCGACGAAAATATATCACGAATAGCAAATTTTACTCGGTGAAAATTAAATATACACCAATTATATCCACAAAATATGATATGAAAATAATGGGAACAGAGAAATACCCGTACGGAGATGGAAAATAAAGGAAAAATGTACGTTACAGGTGACACTGATATAAATATTATATCCAAACAAGTCTTCTGTGTTGTATTTTATACGATAAGTTGAACATGAAATGTGAAGATGCTAGAATATGATAAAACAGACGGAATGCATAATGCTGCCACTAGGTATAGATAAAAACGAAACATTTGAGTACGTCATATTAGTTGTGATGTATACAATTTTAATGAATTGGATTTTTAAATTTGCGATTTTACAGCGAAAACTGAATGAAAGTAATTTTTTTTTTTTTTTTTTAATATTAATAAACTATTGCAAAATGTTGTTTGTGCACTATAAATGACATATTTGTATCATTTTTACATTTTGACCACAAACAATCTAAAAGGACTAATGCATATTTACAACGAATATGTATAATTTGTTTTGATAAAAATTAATGATTTTTAAATAAAAGAATTTCAATAACAAAAAATGAAAAAAAATACATGGTGAATTCCAAAGGAATGTTTTTCTTTGTAGAGATCGTTTTTATTTTAAGACAAACCTACCCCATATACAAAAATAACCTGTTATCCAGTGAGTTGAAAATCGATTGCAAATAACAGGTCCTCGGGGTGAAAACATGCTCACTCTCTTACCCGGTACCCTAAATTTAGTTATTATACTTTATCCTTGGAATGTATTAAAGGGGCTTCATATACGTAATAACATATAATAATATTTCTTTTTTCCGTAAGCGAAAGTATAACTAACGTAAGGTACATTAAATAAATATTGCTATAAAAATATTTTGTTCTAATTTAATGATTTTATATCAAACGAAAAGAAACAATAAATTGTATATAAATGAAATAAAAATATATTCTTTAAAGATGTCGTGGAAACGGACAAAATCTTTTCTATGCAGTTCAGCGCGTGTTATCGATCGAATGCGTATTGAACCATGAAAATAATTTCTTTGCGTGTGTTTTATTCATCTTCATCTTAAAAATAATTATAAAAGTAGGTTGTTTTTTTTTCAAGAACTAAAAACGTTATGTTGAGACAATTTTTTTTAATCCAATGGAAATTTAGGTACGAATAATATTGTTTATTCGCCATATCTTGTTTGGCCGACATCAGTTCGGTGCTGTGAAGCGGAAAACATTATATCGGCCATATAAATATATTTATATATAAACGTATATGTTTATAATACAGTGACTTCCAGGAGTGTTGTGTGAGTAATGACCGTTAAGGGGAATGTTAGAAAATGGTTGGATTATACTTCCGGTGTTCCTGTAATTCCGTGGAAATGACAACAATCCCTTATTGCGTTCAGAGATATTGTCTTCGTTAAACTTTGCTTTAGTTGTACACCAATACAGTCACCGCTTTGGTAATAATCGGGAAAATCTGTTTCAGTTGAAATCAATTGTGTTTTGCTCGCTAATTCAGTTGATATTACCGGTTTCCTTTATTAAACGAAAGGAGAAGTTTCTGACGGTAAACGCTCGTTTAACTGATAATTTTTTATTTTTTTGAAAAACTAATTAACAATCGTTTTAACTTAAATGTTTCGAATGATAGCAACACGACATTTTTAGTGCAAATTATATTTCTACCATTATTAATTATAATAATTTATTAAGTTTTTATTATTTTCAACTAGTGACGTGTATAATTAATAATCTTATACTCCGTGCAGAGTATTTTTCGAACATTTTTATTCACAAAAGAATGACATATATTTAAATAATTACAAGCGTTTAAAATACCTACTGAATGATTATAATACGAGCAGGGAAGTATTTATTGTAAATTATTTTGATATTTGATTAGTTGAAACTTTATGTAAATAAAGTTCAAATACAAATTATTGACGCATTTGCATGACATTATTTTATGGTTAATCGCACTTCATGTATTCTTGTTCTATAATATATTACCATTCGCCAATGAATTCATTAAATTTTAGAACAAGAAGTTTTCAAATTCCTTAAACGTGTAATCAAAATATTTTAATCTATATCGATGTATGAATTAAACAATTAGACACTTAGAAAATAATTTTAGATTGTTTATTAATGTTATAATTGTTTCAACACACATTTCGTTTGAAAATCAGTCAACCAAATATACAAAGAAGTAGACAAAGAATTTGTCAAGTACCGACAGATATTTTGAAGAATTTAAAAACATAAGTATGTAGTATTGAACAATAATGAGTTAATCTAAAAAAAATATGACAATAATTACAATAAAAGTTAAAACAGGGACGATGTAAATAATGCAAATAAACCAACTATAATCATGCCATCGGGACTATACGTGCAGTAGGGTGTGCTTTCGCTGCACCCAACCGAAATGTCATCACACGCTTAAGGGCCACAACTCGTTTTAATTCGGTTGATTTGAGTTGGCCTCTGAATGCCTCTAGGTTCCGTTAGAGCTGATGTTTATGGAAAACGAAATTTATTTACGACCACCCCGAATGATTAAGTATATTTTATTATGATTTGTTTTGCTATTTCATATTTTGTGCACGTTTGCGTTTGTGGCACACAATTTGTAAAAAAAAAAAAAATTAAAAAAAAAAAATCAAATCCCAAACCGTTTGCATCGGTGGCCGCTGCGAGGGTTATTCTATTAGGTTCGCCTTTTCGCGCCGTGTCACCGATAACACCGAAACCCGTTTAAAATATACAATGATATTACGATATAATAATACGTATAGCAAAAATAATAACACATCGGCAATAACGATGGCGGGTATCAACTGTGATATAGGTTCTCGTGTCATCGATGACGCGTGCCCGTGAAACGTTTGCGCTGCGGACCGTGAGAAATATGTTTGACACGTAGGACACGATCGGCGAGCCAGTTAACGAATAAGCTTTCGGTGAACACGTGTACGGGGAAGTGTTAACGACGAGCACCGACGCGACATTTACGACGTATTATTTTGTTGTTTACCGCCAGTGGTGGAACCAAGATTTTCTTTCTTTTTTTTTTTTTTTGAGGGGTGTTGTTTGAAAAAATGCTTTCCCTTAGGATATTTTTTATAACATTATAGTCAGTGATTGATAATGAATTATGATAATAGTAAGTAATATAATACATTAATTTAAATCTAAGATTACTAATTTCTCGTATGAATAAAAATACAAATTATATATTTTCCTTTATTATTTACTTCTAAAAAAAAAAAAAATTTTTTCTAAATTCATAAAGTTATTAATTTTTAATATATATTTTTCCTGATTTGGGGGGGGTTAATCCCCCAGTGAATTCACCACTGTTTGCCGCACTACCGATTGGTCCGACACTTTGCCGGGGTACTCGACGAAATACGTCATGTTTGTATACGAAAGTGCGATTATCACGTAACTGCCCGACGCCCGAAAATCGTTTCACTAATCCTATATTTATTGTAATATTTCGTGTAAACCTAAAGCAAGTTTGCGTTTGAAGATCGTTTGACGGAACGAAAAATGTGCTGCCACGTGTAAGACGACTGGTTTCAATAATTTTTTCCTACCGACAAATGATTTCATTGCTTTATTGTGAAGGTCGTGTTGGATTTAAATGCTAAATCTATAAAGTTATCGACATTGTTCTCGTACTGTAATAAATATAAATTTATTCCGATGTAGACGATTCGTATAATTAACGCTAATAACACCCAGAAGTTAGTGTCGATAGTTATACCTATTAAGAAACTAACCGTAAACTTAATACAAACTGTATAATTTTGTACTTACTACTTGTATCAGCTTTTGGTTGAGGTCCCGGCGAAGATGCCCAGTTGAGTTTCATTTCCTGAAAAAAATAAAAAATAATAAAATATTGTTTTTACAATAACAAAATATTGTTATTTTTACTACAATAAAGTTTACTTGAATTTAAGATTACACGCTGTTTGGTAAATTTAATAATTTATAATGTTTCAGTTATTTAGACATCAATTTTGTTCACTATAAAAAGTAAATTATTATAATAACACAACGAAAATACAAATTTTAAATGAATTTTATGAAAAATATTTTAATGATTATATACATTTTAATATGCATATACCATACTTATACATATTTTTATCATGGATTGTTGCGTTAGTTGTCTTAACATAATCAAATAATGCGTTATTCGAAATAAAATATTAAATTTGATTTTCAGCTATATATATAAAAAAAAAAAGATGCTCCTAAATTGTTGAAAATGTAATATTAATTAACAAAAAAATGTTCAATCTTTTCAGATGCCATACTTATTCCCGAAGAATAATAACAGACTCTTCTGAAAATTATATATGAAAATAGAAATAAAATATTACCCCTTTTAATTCAAGTAAAATATAAGATATTCGAGCTTAATTGAGCCTAAGAGTGATGTGTACATTGAATAAATTATTATTTTTTTCGTTATTATTTAATTTCACGTTACAGCTTAACGATTATAGTATTATAATTTTTTCTGATAATATGTTGTACATTAAGTTAGGAAGCCAGAATTAGTAAAAAATTGTTAAAATCATTATAGGTGGACATCGCAATAGAAGAACAAGGTTTGAGGAGGTTATGAACATCGGAAGAAAATTAATTTTAAGGTTTATACAAAAGAGAATTAAAACAACAATTTTTTGGGGATTTAAGTTATTATTATTGTACGATAACAGAAACACAATAAGGGATACATAAAAAAATATTCCGATATCTATCATGGAAACATGTTTTAAAACGTTACATAGTCAGTATTAAATATTTTACTGTGGAGTAAATCATTTATATATCGTATTATAAATGTTCAATTAATTCCAAATGCATATCAATAATTTTTATCCGACTTTGGTATGAATTTAAAGGAATTAAGATCATTGCCAATGTTTATATTTTAAATAAGAATCGTTATTTGAAAGCGTTAATCATTATTTATGTAGTTATTGATTTAAATAAATACCGAGATGAAAAGTTCGTGATGAAAGATATATGAGTTGCAAATGGTTATCGAATAAATTATTAATGTACATAAATCTATTAAGCTAATACGTACATTATAAACTTAAAACCGACGTGATTAATTTAAGATTAACGTATGTGATTTTCTGATAAACTTTATGATAACTCGTACAGTATACGTTGATTATTCTGTGTTTTAATTATATTTATATTTCATACTTATAAGTTATTACAATGCTATTCATTAAGGAATGTTCGTTTTTCATGTAGCATATTATTTATAATTTAATCTTTCCACTATTGAGTCTGGTTACGTTTCATTCACTTTTATATTTATCTAAAAAAATATAAGTATTATTGCTTTTTTTTAAAAAAAAAACCCCTATGTTTGTGTCCGGAGTAAATCAACTCCTGATTCTTTGGGTTCGTAGATAATTTCTCGGCGAAGAACATCTTTATTATGTATAAGGGACGATGGACACTAATTGTACTTAGACGCATCGTTTTTCCGTTGACATTGTCAACATTTTCTCAATTTTTCTCACAGAATCTTCGAATCATCCCCAATAAAATCGTCGAAATCAAATTTTTATTAACTTCTGCGTTTGGTAACAGGTCATACGATCCCGTGCACCCAATCTATCAAATAGTTATTACAATACATAATAATAAAAATAAATATTCTATAGTAAATATTAATTACACAAGCTACGCCGTTCCCGAAATGCGTGCTTTTCAATGGATAACGTTTAACCATTGACAGCATATACGTAGTGATATTGCCGATACCGAGCGCCGTGCTTCGCATAATCCCACACAATGATATTAAGAGGAATGTTATTTTGACGGAGGAATGTTGTCAAGCAGTAATCTAATAAATTATTATTATTCGTTATCAGTTGTTATGTAAAAAAGAAAAAAAAAAGATAAAATCGTTTCATTATAATTTCATTAATTCATTTTAGTTTATCATCATCACTGCGACAACGTTATAATATATTAAACTAAGTCGCGCATCGCGTGTAGCGATTATTATTTCGCATGTAAATTATATTAGCGTAATTAAAAATATGAAAATACATTATAATTTATACGATTACGGAAAAAAACTTCGGAGGGTTTGGCAACGTAACGCGTGTAGTTTTATCTGGTGATAAAACTGCACGAATTAACCATAATATAGTGAATGAACCATCGACTTATGTATGTTACCGACGACCGATCAGCTTATCGATTTTGGAGTGCCGATCGATCATTAAAAATATCGTTATCACAACATCGTGTTAACTATTCGTCATGTGAACCGTATTATAAGTGTCGTTGTACGGTGTATTTATTTACTGTTTAGTTCGTGATACTTTTGATCACTTAACTTATTTGCTTGCGCCAAACCGTTCGTCGTTTCAAGCCGCCCATCTCGCTTGGAGCGATTGCAACTAGGTATAAAAATGTTTTTCTCGGCGTATCGCATCACTAAATATTGTTCACGTAAACACAACGTACGAGTTTAAGTAGAATAAACATAGATGTATATAAAATATAAATATCTGTGGTAGACGCTGTTCGAAAATACAAAAACTACGTTTTAACTTCAACAGGTCAGATATTTACCTCATTTATAGTTCATCGAACCGTTCGATTCGTTCGCGGCAGGGGCGTAATTATGGGGGATATGGGCGATAGATCCCCCATGAGCTGTATTTATACATTATCTTAAACCTAAAAATAGCTCAAATACAAACTTATAAATTATTACGAAACTAAAAAAAAAAAAAAAAAAACCAGGTTATAAATATTTATCTGTAAAAGTCTATGTTTTCTTTAACATACCAATACGTCAAAATGTTTTTTTAACCAACATTGAAAATTTTAATGAGGATTCTAAGGTTAAAACTTTAAAAAGATTATGTGCTACACGATGGATGCGTTATGATGCGGTAATAGATTTCATTGAACTATTTGCATTCGTAGTAGAATCATTAGAAAGTATTTCTAATTGGAATGTTACCATTTCAACGTAAGCTAATATACTATTAAAACCTATTGATTCAGAATTTCTTATATCTTTACAAGTTACACAATTAAATAGTAATTAATAAATATATTTTATTTTATAATAAAATATTTTTCTAGGCGGTTTTTTCTTATGGATTACCATTGTATAAGTTTCTACAAAAAGAAAAAATTGATTCAAGAAAAGCAATAAATTTTGCTGAAGATATTATCATTGTATTAAAAAACATATTCAATTGTGGTACTGAATTTCACAAATTGTTTTTGCTTGCAAAAGTAAATATTCTAAAATAAAGTATATTATTATATGAATATCTAAACGACAAGTAAATCGAGCACACCCAGATCCTAATTTAAGCGATGAAGAATACTACAAAGTGTCAGTATTTATACTTTATTTGGACTTTTTTATACAATGACTAGAAGAAAGATTTTCAATCCATTCTAAAATTTTTGAAGGTACCTATGTTAAATTGGACGATACCGGTTTCCACCAATATTAGACCTTTCCCTTTTCCACCAATACTCGTTTTCACCAAAAGTGTATATTTTCCTCCAAATTAAATATTGACCATGTTTTTACCAAAAAAATTGTATACTACGCTTAAATTAAAAGCTGTAGCACAGTAATAATTTTATTTAACGTATAATATTAATTCAATAAATGTAAAGGCATTATATAATAAATACAACATCGGTTGGAAAATGTTAAATTTTATTTAAAATAATTGTCAGATATAAAAAGGTGAAAAAACGACATAATAATTATTATGGTATAATTGTAAATGGTCAGATATAAAAATACGAAAAAAATGATATATTATGGTATACGATACCATAGTTATGTAAATTGTAACTATATATAAAATTAGTTGATATTTGTAAACTTATCCAATAAAAAATTTAAAGTTGTTTAGTACTAATGTTTTGTTTCCATGTTTAATTTCAATAAATTTAGATTTAAGGAGGCATGGGGGTCATTGCCCCCCACAAGTTTGCTATACAAATGATTTCGATCCCTCCCCCACGAAACATTCTTAATTACGCCACTGGTTTGCGGTGCACCAGATCCGTCGTGATCACTATGACGTACGATTTTTTGCATTGAAATGTCAATAACATCACAAAACAATAATGTTGTGTACCACCAGTCCTAAGAGCGATACGTTTAATTGTTCGAAAAATAAACGAATGGACTGCGGTATTCACGCGCTCAATTTTTTTAATGCGACCGAGGCCCTTCACGTTGTGTTTGCAGCCGTGCCGAAAAAGCATCCGACCGAGAGTGGTCGGCATGATCCGCGACACGATATCACACGTGCTCGTTGACATCGATACGAGTACTTGGCAGGGTTTGCGTATCAAGTGAAGAGGTTTAAGACGGTATGGCGGTCTGGTGTTTGATTTTGTGCGTGTAAATATTTACACGCTTTCAATCAAATCGATATCGCGTTAAAAGCTTTCGCGGGTATAGACGCGGGTGTGCACGTATATGTATAAATTACAGGTCTAAGCAGAACACGTGCTTTATTGCGCTCGTGTATCCGGCGACACTGATACACCGATTTTTGTTTTTGTACTACGCGATGACGTTCCCGGGGGTTTACAAATTTACGTGGTTTCCGTGATTTATGTTCACGTAATCCGCAATCAAATTTGCGTTTTTATAAACATGTTGTGGTGCGCTTTGGGGGTGTGGTGTTTTTTACTACATTCCCAAAAGTCTTCATAATAATTGCAAAGAACTGGAGAAAAGTAAATGAAATAAATAAACGCATAGCGCAATATATCAAATATATCGCATACCGTGGATTTCGATAAAATCAGTTTTATTTAATCGCTGTAACTGTC